GAGAAGAGAAGAGAAGAGAAGAGAAGAGAGAAGAGAAGAGAAGAGAAGAGAAGAGAAGAGAAGAGAAGAGAAGAGAAGAGAAGAGAAGAGAAGAGAAGAAACAGAAAACCCCTAGCAAACCCCACTGAAGTATGAGTTGCCTACTTACTGCAGGAAGCTGCGGCCTCTGTCTGCCAGTTCCCTTTGCCTGGCTTCACACTCACGTCCCTTCTTCTCACCACCTGGGATTTTTGCTGCCGTTAAGAGAAAGCAGAGAAGCAGTTGAGTACTTTTTGGCCCCATAATTAATTGCGATCGCTTTTTAAAATTATTTGAAGTTTAGAAAGGTAGCTCTAGGATTCACAACTCATACATTATGTAAATGTGTAGTGTTTTGGTCAAATGTAGGGAAATCTTTATGGAAAATCTTTCTAGGATTCTGAACCACTTCAATTGTTCCGGTCTGAGTGTGATTTGCAGTGAGTTATCTTAACTGTTTGTGGAGTTGACTTTGTTAACCTGCATTTCCTGGGTGTTCTTTCTAAACGCCTGAATTTGGGCTGTAAATTAATCAGCAACGTTGTTATCCTATCTGTAAATGAACAGGAAGCAGAACTTTCCCCAATGTATGTATGAGTCCCCTCTCTTCATAATTTACATTACCAAATAATCGAATTGCCTACGCATTGCTTCAAATCTGAAGCCATCATTTTCTTTCACTATTTTCAGTTACGATCTGAGATTTAATTTACTGCAATCCTCTTTTTTATATCAGAATAGCTGTAATGAATCTATTTTAATTTTTCCAGTGTCTATTTCATGTTAACTTTTCTACCATCTAACATTGTTTCTTTAAATCTTCCCTTTGTATACATCTGAATTAGGAGTAAATCTGTACATTCCATATCTTCATCTTGAATCTAAAATGGCATATTCAAGATTTAACTCTTTTTGTCGATGGGACTGAAACTTATATACTAAATATACGGAACCCAATTTAGTAAATATACTGAACCCAGTATACTGTAAATATAGTGAACCAATATAGTAAATAAAAGTATTTATATAGTAAATATATTTCCCAGACTCAATTATTGTTTCTTTATTGGTTTTACTATTAAAGTTCTCCATTAGTTTTATTGGCATTCCACTGACTAAAACTCAACTAGATGTTGACATCTAAATACAGAGGGAGACTGGGAGATTTTCTCCGGGACATTTTGCCACTGTGGTCAAGAAGGGATTCTGACTTCATCGAGTGGTTGTAAGGTCTATGCTTTTAGCTGATGGGAGTATTCTGATACCTGTACACCATTGGTGCTCTCCAACTCAAATTAAATCAATATTCATTAAATCTGATGAGCCGGTCTTGTGTAACATAGCAACAAAGTTGTACGCATCTCATGAATGACCAGGAAAATAAAAAACAGACCTTAAAGAGTCTTCCCTTTGCACACTAAATACTTGTACAAATTAGAAGAAAAGGTACTGTCTATGAGCTCTGGAGTCTAAGCCAATGGCTTTTAAACTATGCTCTGGGCACTTGTGGGGTCTCTAACAATCTTTCAGTGGTCTGTAAGGTCAAAACTACTTTTCATGATCATACCAAACTATTCTCTGCCTTTTAAACTCCCATCCCCTCATGAGCACACAGTTCAGCTTCCCAGAGGCTGCATGACGAGTGATACTGCCACAGACAGAAGGCAGAAATGGATCTGAGAATTCAATTGCTTTCTGTTAAACTGGACATGAAATGGGCTTGCAAAAATGTAAAACAGGGTTAGTCTCACTACATTTTTCAGTTTGGAAGATATATCTATTCTTCATAAATGTACTATGGGTTTGTTATTATTTCTAAATTAATTAATAAATGTATATTTCAAGATTGAGTTTTAATTCTAAGATAGTGAGCATTAAATTATATAACCCACATAAATAAAGACTATTTGGGGACCCGAATATTTGTATGAGTACAAAGTGATTCTGGGGTCAAAATCTGATAGGCTGTTTAAATGGATTGTAATGTATACTAGAAAATCATGGCACTTGGTCCCATAAGTGGCCAGTTGAGTACTTCCTCCTCTTTTGGATGAAGCCGCTAAAAGCAGAGGCAAGGAGTGTACAAAAGTGTTGTCTCCTTAATTCTATAATAAGATGGAGTTATAAAATGGCAGCAAAATGTCTCATTTTATTGACTTTTTCATCTGTAGCTCTTTTGGGTTAGACAATTGCCATATTTCTTCATTCGATAAATATGCATCATGTAGAGGCTGTATTCAAGATATCAGTCTTTGTGCTTTCTGAGTATAAAAATGGCTGGTTCCACAAAAACTTATAATCTAATTAAGGAGAAAAGTATCCAAGCATACAGAAGCCTACAAGAGGGATAATAAATAAGACTAATCAACAAGTCCCGTCCAGGTAATAAAGAAAGCTACATGTAGGTTGCCCCATAAACAATAAGTAGGATCTTCAGAGGGGCAGCTCGATGTAAAGTGCAAAATTAACAGTCTCCAAACACGTCCAAGTAATGCTGAGCACTTCAGTGTATTGGAGGTCTACATCCCGTGGAAGGAAGTAGAGGGAGATAAATCTGAGTGGACAAAAAGATCTGAACATTATTTAGTACTCTGGGAAGAATCAATGTGGCTATAAGAACGGGATTTAATGAGATTAATTAAATTTAGGTGAGAGAACGAATGTGAAGGAGGAGGAAAGAAAAGTCAGAGCACTACTGCTCTAAAGTCAAAGGCATCTGCACTAAGAAATAGAGTTAGTGTCACTGTCCACAAGGACAAGGATTTTTCATTGTTTTTCCGTGAGAATTCTTCTGAAAATTACAAACTTTTACTTCAAGTAAAAGCACATAGAAAACACACACACACACACATTTTCCTGCAGTTTTTATACTCTTGAAGTATAAAACTATGGACCCAAACTTCAGAATCTTTTCTGTATTTATTTCTATATGCCAGCCAGATATTCCTTAATCAAATTATGTTGCCCCTCAACTTGGTGAATCGAGATTGGATGGAGAGTTTCTTATGGATTCTTTCAACTCCACCAGCTCATGGAATCATGGCAGAGTAGAGAAAGAACACTTTAAAGAAAAAGAGGGGAGGAATCTGTCCATTATGTCTGCAGGTTTCACTAAAAAGAGACAGCCCTGCACGTCGTTTTTCCTCTCTGCTGTTGCCTGCTCCTGTCATTCATAAGAACTGTGACCTCAGTGACCTTGCATATCCACATAGCCCCTTTTCTGCTCAGCCTAGGTGTGCACATACCTGCCACACAGGGCTTGGATCGCACATCGTTCCTGAGCCCGACCGCTCTCGCTGCCTGGCATTGTGTGCCTGCCACACGACCGGGCAGGCTCGTAAAACATCTCTTTATGTACTTTATTACTTAAACTCTTTTATTTGCCTGCAGGAGCCCTTTAACAAAATCACATTGAATTGACTTTCTCACACCAAATCAAATCTCCCTGGTCCCAGTTCAGTTGTCTTTGTCAATATGTATTTTATAAATGGAGTGAATTAACAGATGCTTTGGAACAGAAGTGCTGGGGTAGCGTTTATGTTTTTACTGCTCTCTCTGGGCAGATGAGTTGTGTAGAGTGTTATACAGGTGTCTCGGGATGAAAGTCATGCTCATCATTCCATGGATCTGTATCCCTACCCATTTCCTTGAATGTAACCTCTTTATTACTATTGTTTCTTAGTATTTGCTTATATGGTGTTATCATTTATGCCACTCATATTGGGTTGGACTTGACATATCCTATAGTATTAAAAGATGAAAGTTAAAGCCTTTCTATCATTCAAGGGGGACAGGATTTTTCTGTGAGCCATGGGAAACTGATCATTATATGCCTTTGGAATATATTTCCTATTTCTATTATAAATTTTGTCCATTCAACCTTTGACCTGAAACTGTATATTGAAATTGTTTCCAAAAAGAACATTGAGTTTCCATGTCCTAGACTCTGACTTTTGCAAAATGAATGACTGCCACCAATAAAGTGCATGCTTCAAAAGATAGAATTTGAGACCTTTACAAAGAAAGAAGGATAGCCACAGAAACCACTGGGGTAAGAGTTGTGTTGAAAGAACGTATCCCAAAAGGTTCCCATACAACAAAAATGAAATTTTAAAAAACTTAAAGATCTACACGCTGTAGAATGCATTGCAGGGATTTGGGCCACATTCCTCCCCACCCATCCTTTCTGTTTTGTGGTGGTAGCCAGGGAGCCACCTACTGGGAAAGACAAGCATGGATTTCTTTTCTTGCAAGCTCTGCCGACCAATTTTATGTTTGTCCTGAGGACTAATCATAAACGAGTTTTTTCTTTCTTCTAGACCTAAAATGTAAAATCTCTTTGCTCAAACGGTAGTTCCTCTGATCAAACCCATAGTCCCATAATAATTGTCATATTCCAGACTGCATTTTACTACTATTTTAGTTTTTTTAAATCTCCAAAGCATGTTGCATAGTTTTTGGTTTTAATTTGGAAAGATACAGGACTTATTTTGAAGATGAAACTATTTTGAAATTAATCCAGCAGATATGTCTATAAGTGAATTCCTTTTGATTCCTGGATATTAAATATGTGTGCTGGCACCATATTTGAAGTACTGACAATATTGTAAGTAAAAAATCCCTCTCTCCACCGTTTTCTCAGTTGTGTCCAATGCAAAACAAGCTCCCCATCAACTATATCTGCAGTTTAGAGAGACAGTATATGCTGCTTGACCTGAAAAATGCACAGCTACAAGTTCGATGTGTGCCACACCACTTTAATAACATCTATATCTGCTCACTGAGACTCTGTGCCTTTGTACAAATTTAATGAGGAGCCTCTGGAAGAATGGAGTGATCCATCAATAATGCATAGCCTGTTTTTTTTTCTTGGAGCATATTTAAAATTGTGCATTTTGCGTGTCAAAGTTCAAAAGTCAAGTGCTACATGTGATAGATGAGGTAGGGGTCAAAAGTTATTGCAATGCAGTTTGGGAAGATTGTCTTTCTCTGAATATGCAGCTCATTCATGCTGAAGTGATGCACTATGGGAATGACTACCAAACTCTGCTTTGCAACATCTGTGCTCCCTAAGTGAGTTAGTGCACGTCAGACATCTTTATGTCAGAATATTGCAGTGATGGATGCAGTCTTCAGAAAATGCTGCATAAAAATCTGGTGTGCCGTTCTGGCCATTAAGTGAAATTACTATTTAAATTAATGGCACTGTCACAGTTTATCTGTACAAAGAATGAACGCTGATTAGGGTATTAAGTAATTAGCAATTTATCACACTGGAACAAGGTTGATAATAATTAAAGAAGTAATGGTTTACCAAAGAAACCAGAAAGGGAGTCACTTCTTGTTATGTGAGTGAAATCCTGGCTGAAAATTTCAGTGCGGTAAAACAAAGATGAAGCTCTTTGTGAAAGAAAGCACCCTTTTTCTTGTTTTTTTTTTTTTTTTCTTTCTGTGTAAGAACAGTTCATTATCAAAATTTTACTTGACCTGTCAAAAGTCCCTCAGAGCTATCAGATGACTGATTAGGAATTTAGAATTAGGTCAATGTTTGCATTTTGATTTCATACTTAAACAATGGTAAAACCATGGAGTAATTTGGAAACGGAGGGGGAGAATGTATTCCACTCCCCAAAAAGCCAGTTTTCAGATTTTGATTGTTTTTAAAATAGACACGTGAATAGTTTTAAGAAAATTGCGAGAGAAAAATGACAGTCAGAAATCCAAGGTTGCATTTAAATGTCTGATCAGGACGTATCAGAAAAATATCTGAACAATGCAAAAGTTGAGCCTACATTTCCTTGTTTTTATTTTATGCGTGCACACACTTACATGTCTGTTCATATCTGTATATGTGTGTACACACAAAACCACCCACCACCTCCCTCTAAAGAAGACTCAGTCTATAATGATAGCCCTGCTGGGCATATTTTGTTTGAGAGAAGTTTGCCTGGAAATCTTAAGACAATAAAAAGCTATTCATACAGCAGTCTTTTTAAACCAGTCACTTTGAAGAGTTGTCACATGTAGATAAACATAACTGTCAAAACTCTTATGATTGTGTATTGTATTAATCATAAAAAATTTAAATATTAAAAGATATTTTTACAAATGGAGACAAAACAAAAAGGTCATTTGGAGACACATAGATAAACATCTTTCTTAAGGCATATGTCACACTATCATCTACTTTTAAGGATTAAGGAAGAAAGTATTTAAAACTCCTTGGTCTATTATTAGGAGTGCCTTTCATAATGTAGATGTTTGTACAGGACCAGATTAAACAATGCAGGACCTTGGGGCACTTTGAATTGGAGGTTCTTTATGTTATCAGTCAGGACTAATAATAAATAAACAAAATTCTAATTAAAGCAAATCACTCATCTCATTGTGCTGCTGTATAAGTGTGTAGAAATTCTGATACGATAGTATTGTGGTGTTCAATCTAGGTACCTTAATTTCTAGCATAATCTGACTCTAGAGTATTCTTTATTCATGCTTTTATATCTGAATTTCTGCTGGTGTTTTTCGTCTGGCAATAACTAAATGATGGAAACACAAGTAGTTACACTAAACTTGCCGGGAGAGAAAAGTATCTCAGGCGCATGTGTCTGAAAGAGATGCAGAAATCAAGGCTCGCTCTTCCCTACAAAGTCTTTCTCTCGCTGCGGAACCTCTCAACCATCTCTACTCACAGATCTAGAATAGAGCCAGGCCCCCAAACTGCAGGCTGACTGGTGCACTTGACCAATCAGCAAGCTCAGCTGGTTTTAGATGCCAATTCAAAATCACCGAGCAAGAATGGATTCACAAGAGCTGAATGTCTATCCTTACCCTAGACAAGGACTATCCAAACCTCGCGAGACTCCTACAAAGGTTTCCACATGGAGGATGGCTTCTTATCCCAGATTGTCTGGGTGACCTATTCCTCCCTATGAATTTCTGGAGCATTCTCTAAATGCTTCTAGTCTAAGTCTCATCTGCAGCAAGATGTTATCCTCACAAAATGGGCTGGCAGTTTTGATGACAGAAATCCGATCTATTTTTATGGGGCACGGGTGAAGTGTGGCCCAGCTGAATGATTTCCTAACACTTCCTCTTGTGTGTTCTTCTGCTAATTAGTGTCTAGTGCCCCTGGTAAGGAGGACCCTCACTGCACATTTAAATCACCTTGGTAGGGAAATGTTACCTTAGGTATCGCACCATTTCTGAAACTGCCCAACTCCGACGTTTTTAAAACCAAAGTTTATAGCAGCCTCAGTTTTCTTCCCTTTTTTTATTTCATATTCATATATAACTTTTTATTGTTGCAGGGATGTTCTGTTGTGGGCAGGATTATGTGAATATGTCAGATACCATATGCTGCTCAGCCTCCAGTGGAGAGTCTAAAGCACACGTTAAAAAGAATGTCCCAGAGCCAGGAAAATGCTGTGAGACTGAACTTATCCCAAAGAGCCAGGAATGCTGTAATGGAGTTGGATATAATCCTTTGAAATATGTTTGCTCTGACAAGATTTCAACTGGAACGATGATGAAGGTAATTGATAGAAAACCTCTCTGAGGCTCTGATTTGACAATGGAAAGAGAAATACATTGTTCATAACTATTTTTCTAGAATAGGAATATAAAAACTCCTGTGTGCATTATTCATTTTCACATTACATCCATATTAATACCGAATGAGTTGGCTATGATTGATGTTATTGCAATGAATTCTAAAGGAATTAATAATGATTAGCTGTTCTCAGGGAAGCGTTGCCCCGCACCTCAGATGACTGTTGGGCTGAAATTTGTGTGCAGAAAGAACCACTTGGCTTGTGCTTGTCCTCTGTATGGTACCATTTCATGGCCCTGAGTGCTGGAGATGGAGAAGGATGGAAATTCTTCTCCTTCCCTCTTGCTTATCAACTGTATCTGCCATTTTCCTTTTATGGAGACCTTGGGACATCTAATTCACTTGGCTGAGTTTCTCTGTATTCCTTTAGATGCTGTGGAAGGAACAGGTGCCTGTCTTAACTCCCAAGTGAAGGGCCAAACATGGTCATCTGCTATAACCTTGCATCTGCACATTCCGTGCTTGTGGCTATCACACTTGACCAAGCCCCCAGAAACCTATAATTTGCAGCACTGATTTAAACACAATACCTTACCATGTACTGGAGTGATTTTTTGTCCCAAAGCTGGAAATGGGTATCTTGGTCACAGACAGTGGAAGGACACTTACTGAATGGGACAACTACACAATCCTTGTGAGGACACCATACGCATTGGTTGTGAAATAATTCTGCTGCAGTGTTAGGGCCCCAGAAAGAACTCCGTAGCAACAAATTACTAAATGACACATAAGGTTGGTTCAATTTTTATGACAAGGATAATATTTCTGCACACTAAATCAGATAGCATATTGTAAGTGAAGTCCAATCTGTAGGGTCCACCACGTTTCCTGAAATCCCTCTCTTGGAGATTTCCCTCTTCTATTTCAGTCTGAAGGAGACCCCTCTAGGATATCCACAAAAGATCTTGCGGGGCTTTTCCAAACTAGCAATTTGAGAATTTCTCCCACCCCACCCCATGTACATACCCTGATTTCTGGGTCCTGAATTTCCTCGTTTGGGAGAATTATCTTCCCATATGTTGGTGCATAGAAGGTAATTCTGGGAGGGCTTGATGTTTGAAATCATCTGTGTTCTACCCTTCCACTGGATTAATGGCTTGGCCAGATATGTATTTCAAGGATAAAAATTATTTCCACTCAGAGTTTTGTAGGTATTTCTATGGTTTTGGGGCTTCTAATACCACTTTGATTCCTGTTTCTTTATAGGTGAGCTTTTCACGATACTCTTTCTATCTTCTTCCTCTCAAACTTCATGAAAATGTGTCTCAGTATGGAAGTTATTACTATTTATAATGATGTGCTTTTGTGGAATTTTTCAGTCTAAAGTCTTCCAGGAAATATCATTGTATTATTTATTTGACAATTTGCTTTCTCTTTTATTTCTCTTTTCATCCACTGGTTCTCTTCCTCAATTGATTTTTTAATTTTCTTTTTCTTGCTCTTTCTTATTTTTTTTTCAATTTCACAATATATTGCCTTAACTTTCTCTTTCCTCCTTTCTATTAATTTCTTAAAATTTCAGTTATCATTTTCAAACAATGCTAGTGCTTCTGCCTTTGCTAATTAATTCACATCCTCCTACTGTTATTTCATTTCAGGAGTATACATTCTGAAAATATTAGTTACTTGTTACCTTTTTGTTGTTTATTTCTTGAACTGTCTCTTTTACTCTTTGGGTTCTATTTTAGCTTTCTTCTTTTCGACGCTTTTTCTCTTGCTCACTCTGCGTTCCTTTCTCTGTGCTTGGAAATCTCTTCTTTCCCTTGGAGGCTGAGATCTTGCTGTGCAGAATCTTGGCCTGTCCCTAGGTGGGGAGCACAGTAGGGTTATCATGTGGCCAAATGGGTTTTTCTCAACAAATCACGTTAACAAGAAATCTTAACAAACATACTTAATTGACTATCCTTTAATACTCTACCCCAGGTCAGGAAGGTGTGTACACTTCTCTGCCAGCACTGGGGAAATCCAGTAGGAAAGAAGCAAGTGTTATCAGTGCACTATGCAGAGTAAATTTCCCAGATCTCCTCTGGCACCTGGCTTCTACCTTCCAGGGGGCCCCGCCTATTCCTTTTAATTTTATCAACTCTTTGCTGAGCTTGTCTCATTTTGTGATATCTTGCCAAATGTATCTCAGAGTGACACACACATACTGCTAATGATCTATCTTACAGCCCTCTCCCCTGGAGCAAGGAGTTCAGTAGCATGTGACTTGCCTTGACAGTTGTCACAGGGCCTAATTGTACCAAATATTTTTCCATGTTATCCAGAGCTCGCCAACCTCCTAATCTCCAGTTTCTATTTTCTTACCACTCCTGCCACTGAACTAATGCCACCTATTTTAGGGTTTTGGTGGCTGCAGCTAACTAACAGATACTAAAACTAAAGACAGATAGGCAAATATGTGATGGCTCCAAAGAATGAAAATCTTTTCTGCTCTGTTGAGGTGTAAGTGACCCCAAAAAATTGTATATAACTTGTTATCCATGCATACATTGGGAAATGATCCCCACAATTAAACTACTTTTAATTTTTTGCATGACATTCCAACATATTACAGCTAATGTGGGTTATTCAGCCCTCTGCAAGTAACATATTGGGATCCTGAGACCCTTTTCTCCTGCTCTCCTTCACATGTAGCAGTTGGATCCCAATGAGAAAGGAAGAGAGAGAATTGCTGCATACTAATGGGTCATACTTGGGCACTGGATACTCAGTATATCCTTTCTGCGTATTAATCATAATTAGACAAATCTAATGATGTGGCTTCTTTTATTGTAAATAGGCTTGAAAAGCCTTTGCTTCTAGGGATAAAAGAAAATAATGGACATTAATGGGCACATAGCATTACATCTGCTACATCCCCCTACTTCCCAGCTTCTAGAAGTTTTGAACACTACTATATGTCTTATTTGTCTCCCCATTTCCTTAGACTTTTTATATTTATTTTATACATACCATTATTTTACTGTCACTTGGATGAGTTTTAAGAGGATACAGAGGTAAGTACAAGGGCTCAGTTTGCCATTTTTACATGGAATTTCTGCTGTGCTTCTCTAAAGCAACAATATTTAACCAACTTAGGATAAATTAACTCATTTTATGTAAGGGAGAAGTTGAATGGAGAAGCTTCCACAATTGGGGATATTTAAGTATTTAAATTACTCAGATTAGAATGATTATTAATAACATAAAAAGTCCAAAGAGTCATTGGAGAAAGTGTTTATAAATATCAATAATTATGATGATAGTTCATAAAATATTTAGATTTCTGAAAGTTGGATAAGTAATATTTCTTCAGGACCCAACCTTCCCAACAGCACATGGAGTACAGATTATCAAATATTTCATTCTCTATCTTCAGAATATCACAGGAAGTTGTTAGAGTTCACTATTACAGTAAGGAGTGCTCTCGTTGTTTGCGGTGTGCATACTAAGCCTAAGGCGTATACAGGTGTCATCTCACTCCCTTCATGTAGCAAACCTTCATGGGAAATTTATTTTCCACTTTTCCCCTCTCAAGAAGCTGAGGCTCTGAAACTGTGAGTGACCTGCTGGGTAGAGTTCACAGACCTAGAAATTTGCAAAACTAAAATCTTAATCCCAATCTGGCTCATTTCAAAGTAGCCGTACATGCTTGTAGATAAACCATTTTCTTTTTTTTTAAATGAATTTTGAGACATTCATTATCATGCGAATAGGAAAAAACTCATTTGAAAGATGCACAAACTTACCCTACCCATGTCTAAAGGAAAGTTTAAAACCCTCTTCTTTTTCTGTCCTAACCCCCGCACCGACCCAGGAAACCAAAGTGTGTGGCACTCTCTGCCCGGCATCTATGGAAACCACAGCTCACTGTGGCCACTGTGACTTCAACTTCACCAGCCACGTTTGTGTCGTGACAAGTGGGTCCCCCAATTCCACAGGCAAGGCGTCGATTGAAGAAATATGTCCATTTCCCGAAGAGACTGTTCATACGGGAAGTGCAAACATGTTCTCCTTCACAGGTAACAGGAGTCGAGCCCTCTGCCACAGCTGGGCAGGGACAGTGAAAGGCTGCTGGAAATCCAGATTTGTTTTTCTCTGACTTCCTCCCTCTGTCACCAGCTATCACTTCCTCTTCTCTCCCTCTGCTCCCATAGCACATTAGTTACAAACTTTACCTTCTGTCTGCTTTCAGCTCTCCAATGAGACTAATATATTCTATTCAATAGCATGTCTTTGTTTACTTTTACCTCACTATTTGGAGGGAGCATGCTATACACCATCAAAAATATTTATCAGAATGAATTTAATTACAAAAGTTCTCAGCCTACAGATCAATTTGTCTAAATTTCCATTTTCTTCATGCACTCACTTAAACATTTGAATCATGGACTCTCATTTTAAAATTCTTGGGTTTCCATCTGTAAGAACTTTCTCCTTGTGTCTGCCGCTCATAATCAAAGTCAAGATTTTGAAGAGCTTTTAAGACATACTTGCCATAGATCTCTCCAGAAGTGAATAGATGTTTCTACATACAGAGGAAGTATTATGAGGGCTTTTAAAATCTACACCCCAAATTGCTTTTCCTGCCAGAGCATACTGTAAATTGAATTTGAAACTTTCCCTTTTTCATGAAAAACAGTAAGCACACAAGTAGTGCTGTGACAATTCCATTGAAACCAATTTACACTAGCAAGTCAGCCATTTACAGAAACGGAGTTAAAATCTAACAGCACCAACACTAACCAAAATTCACTCACTGGTGTACTCATTAATTTATCTCAGATATTTAGTAAGGGGTTTGGGGCTGTAGCTCAGTGGTAGAAAATTTGCCCAGCATATGGAAGGTCCTGGGTTTGATGACCAACATCACAAAAAGAAAAATGAAAGTACATACCTACTAATAGCCAGTCACCACAATAGGACCAGCAGTTTAAGCAAGAATTTCCACATCTGAAGAGCTCCTGGGAGTGACTAGGAGTCCACTGGACTGTGTAACTACACCCTGATGTGAGAAACAGGCTGTGGAGAAGCACTGAGAGAAGCCAGCATCATCCTCTGGTGCTTTTGAAGAGTGTTGCAGCAACACCTCATGCACTAGGAAAGACTTCGGGAAAGACACTGGGTCTGAAGGAGAACTAAAGGACCAGGTGGAGCCTATGCAGTTGGGAGAAGGTAGATGAGGCAGAAAGTGTTTGCAGAAAGTGTCTGCCTCCATGGGAGGCAGAGTACAGGAGGGAGAAAGCTAGGGGACAGCAGTCAAAGATCTTGGTTCAGGACAGATCATAACAGTTGTGAAGGCCACAGTAAGCAGCGGGTCTCTGTGCAACAATGAATGGACTAGAGGGGCTGGGGATTTAGCTCAGCGGCAAAAGCGCCTGCCTGGCAAGCGCAAGGTCATGAGTTCGGTTCCCGGTACCGGAGAAAAACCAAAAAA